ATGTGCAAAATATATTTGAATATATTCAAAATTGCATTGGAATGGGCTGCACAATCATTCTTCAAATGTTCTTTATCTGTGCTTCATGGAAGAAAGTAAGTCATTAGCGCTGTCAAAATGACTGAAAAACTAAATTCAAATTTTTTACTTAAATATTATAAAAATTCAAATTATATTTGAATTTAAAATGCATAATTTCAGTTAGGGGGAAAAAAGCTTTTGGCTTCTCTTCTGAGGCCACAAGAGGGCGCATCGAGCAAAATATAATGCACGTTTCTTCAAAGTGTAATAAAATAACACGACTATCTTTGAAAAAAAGTGCATAGTGTTTAAAATAATGTTTATAAACCATATATAATTAATAAAGTTGCTTAAACAATTAGAAGAAAAAAAACAGCACCATGCATGTATGTGTAGTTTAATACAAAGGACCGAAAACCAATCACAAAGAGTAGGCTACTTTCTTCATTTAAAAACATGAGATACAGTGGGATGGGGAAAAACCGCCATAACGTCTTTAGACATGTTTTTTAAAAGTTGAACTTGCATTAATTTTACATGGCTTTCTAAACATGCCGCTCTCTGTGAGACGCGAGTGCAACGCTGATAGATGTCCCTCTAGAAAATGTGATAAATATGAGTTCTGTGTGAACGGCTTGGTTTCAGTTTTTCCACACTGATGCTCTCGTTTTCCACAATATATGAATGAACAACGTAGCAGCGCCGCATCTAGTGGGTTCAACTGGATAGGCTAACAAAATCATTCAAATGCATTCAATGACACATACATCGTCATCACATCTTGTGCCCCACTGATAAGGCTGCCTGACGCAGACCTTAAATTCAAAAGCAACGTTTTTGCATTCGAATGTGGATTTTTTTTTTTTTTTTAATTCGACGAATATTCGAAATTAAATTTTTTTTGACAGCCCTATAAGTCATACATTGGAACAACATGGTTGTGAATAGTGATAGAATTTTCACTGTCTTTATTTTTCCAATATCTACAGAACTCACAAAGTTTTCTCATTCAGAGAAAATACAATCTTTATACACTGATAAGAAAAAAAGACCTGGGAAAAGAGCAAAAAATAGGGAGAACGAGACAGATGAAGGCTGCCAGAGAAAGGGTAACCTTGTCACAATGGATGAGCAGAGGGGAGGTAACCTTGACAACAGCAAATTGGGTGCAGGGATGAAGGCAGGAGCTGTATGCATGAGCGGCATTGATTGAATGACCTCAAACACGAGCAGAGATGAGATTATGAGGCCAGCAGGTGAAAAACACCAATACGCCAGCATATCCGTGTGTATGTGTGTGAGAGAGAATGAGCAATAGAGAAACAAGCACACACACCTCACTTATTTAGCCCATAAACACACCCGAGTCTCACCTCACAGACAGCAGATAAGCACATCAAAGCACACTGAAAGAACAAAGAGCCTGTGAGAGAGCTGTCCTCACTCTGTCCACCCAGGATCGATTGGCCAATAGACTGGTGAAGAGGATGTGCTTTTAAAACATGACACCCGAGGCCAAGCATTGAGGCTGCCTGTATGGTCATGACAGCTTTTGACTCCCTTTCAGTGCCAAGTGAAAAAGGCATTAGAGGTGGTAGACTGTACAGTGTATTTTTGTTGAAGGGATAGCGACAGAATAAAAAAAACGTCATTATTTACTCATCTTCCTGCCAATCAAAACCCCTATGGTTTTACTTTTTTAATTACTCAGGCACCACTTTTTTGTGAGACTCGAACCGATAACTTTAGTTACTAACCCAGACCTTCAACCACAACACCACATCATCTCTACCATGCTACAGCTTCATGAACATCTCTAAACAAAAAATATGAACTGTATACAATGAAGTCCTGGGTGGCATTTTCTTAAGATGGACAGGCTCTGCTCTAAGAGTCATTTAAAAAGGTTCATGTTCTCATTTAGAGAAGGTCTGCAAATACCAAATGAACCAAAAGCCAACCAAGAGCCATCAAAACAGCTATTTAACAATGATATTAAATGTATACAAGAAACAGTAACACAGCCTGCAGAGTCTCACTGCAGAGTTTCTCGCCCTCCTTCCTCCCATTTCCTGTCTTCGACTCCATGCAGGGACTCATGTGTCAGTAATTAAGCATAGCATGAAACGTGCTTCGTAAGGAAAGTAAGGGAGGGAAGAAAAGGATGTTCTAGAGAGGTTAAGGTCAAAGGGGCAGAGAGCTCAGGGCCATTTAGCCTCACAGGGAAGGGGTGGAGCAGTGTGTGCGTGTGTGTGTGTCTGTTTGTGTGTGGACATCTTGTAAATAGCGGTCAGCAGGAAAGTAAAATGGAGTGGAGGATGCTCCTAATTGCTCTTTCGGTCTCAGAAAGCGATGATTTTGCACTCCACAAACATCTCTGTCTTTGTGTAGGTGTCTTGATTGATTTTTTAATGTTTTTGAAAGAAGTCTTTGAAAGGCTGCATCTATTTGATCAAAAATTCTGTAAAAATTGCGAAAGAATATTACAATTTAAAAGAACAGTTCTTTTTGAATATATTTTCAAATGTAATTTATTCTTGTGGTGGCAAAGCTGAATTTTCAGCAGCCATTACTTTAGTCTTCAGTGTCATATGATCCTTCAGAAATCATTCTAACATGCTGATTTGGTGCTCAAGACAACATTTTGTATTATCAATTTTTGAAAACAGGTTGGCTGATTTTAAAATAATTTAGTTGAATCCAAAAAAAAAAAAATAGAGAACTTACTTAGCACTTAAATGCATTAAACTGATGACAAGTGGCAGTGAATATATTTATCATGTTCGAAACATTTCTATTTTAAATAAACGCTGTTCTTTTGAACTTTCTTAAATAATCCAAAAAAATACTAAGAAATGTTTCTTGAGCACCAAATTAAGCATCAAATTAAAATGATTGCAGAAGGATCATATGACAATGAAGACTGAAAACAGGAATAAACCATGTTTTAAATTATATTAAAATAGAAAGCAGTTCTTTTCATTTGTAATATTTCAAATTATTACTGTTTTTACTGTATTTTAGATTTTAAAAATATAATACGTAAAATATTTAAAAATCTTAAGGATTCCAAACATCTGACTGGTAATTTACATGAGCCTCACAAATTAAATCAGTAGTCTCTCCATTTCAATTTAATTTACCCATGAAATGTGCTTGCTTAAACCACCATGTAGTTGATAGGAAGATTAAACAGGACGTCGAGGAAAAGATGCAACTGCCATTAGCACGGCTCATTTGCTACCATCTGCAGATCAACTGCCTTTAGCTTGTTCATCGCAGGTGGTTAAGGCATAAGTGTGACACAGAAGAATCTCCACCACAATAACAACAATATCCAACCATGCAAAACAAAACCACAGTGTGGAACAAAGCAAGGGCATCATGAGTGAGCTTGACACCTCTTGGATATCAACACATGGTTCTGCAAATAACAGCCTAACAGCTCTGTGGCAAACCACAGAGCCATTAAACCTAAAGGTAAAAAAGAAGTCAGAACTGTATGATCGGCACTGAAAATTATGGGACACATTAGTCTAACTTCAGCCAGGAGAGCTGAGGCTGACTCCTCTGAACATACACACATTCAATATGCTCCAAGACACAGCTGATCGATCGTTTCACCTCTCTCCCTTGTGTGATTAACGGCTGGGAAACTAATTAGGTTTTACAACACAAGCCTTTAAATTAGTGCTTCCTGCTTACACACCCTTGATGATGAAGGTAATTTTTTTTTTGCTTTTATGAAGGCTTTGAATTTCTCACATGAAAACAGGGAAGAAATATAAGAGGAATGGAACCATCCTGAATAGGATAGCTAATGGGAAAAAAATAAAATAAAATAAAATAAAAATGGAAAAGATTAAAAAAGCAGAAGAAGAAAAATAAAGAAAGAAAAAATCTAAGACGACATTTTCTAAGAAAAATTCTAAGGAACCAATATACAGGAACAAACAAAACAGGAAATTATATCATCATGCAAAAAGACTCATCGTGAGTCAAGGTCAATAAATCCCTTAAAATATTAACCTTTTCATGTCAAGGTTGATAGAAACCTTGGAAAATACACTACCATTTAAAAGTTTGTGGTCAGTAAGATTTTTAAAAAGTTTTTGGCAGAAGTGCTCACTAAATCTGCATTTATTTGAATATAAAATACCGAAAAAACACAATAGAGTAAAATATTTCAAATAAATGTTTTCTATAGATCAGTTTAATATTCTGATTTGGTGCCAAGATATTTTTTTATTTTAAACAATATCGATGGGTTCAATGTTGTCCTGCTTAACTTTTTTTTGGAACACAGTTTATTTAAACTAGAAATCTTTTGTAACATTATGTCGCACTCTCTATTCTAATTCTATTCTCTAATTCTAAAAAACAATTGCCCCTTTTAGACTTGCACTCATTTAATTTACTAACTGCTTGTTTTCTTAAAAAAAAAACTAACACTAGTTTTTTCTAATCTTTTTGTATTCTATCTATTTGTTTTCTTTTTATTTATTATACAATTAACAAAAGCAAAAGGCCTCTAACACTAGCTTGCTCTATTCTTTTTCTATTCTATCTGTTTTCTTTTTATTATATAATAAAAAAAAACTTGCTACGTGTACTGCGTTCAGCTAACTGAGACTTGTTAGCTTATCTCATACTTTTGTATAGCAGTGCATATTTTGGAATACAATATTTAAGATGTGTACACTCACATTTACTTAAGCTGTAAAAAAATATTACTTTTCACTTAAAATTTTTAGTCTTTAAATTGAAACCATTCTTGAAAATAGTTTTTCAAAACCAAAAGAAACTGCCATAAATCCAGAGTATCTGTCATGAACAAGAGTATTTCTAAGCATGTGCTTTAATCTTATTTGTCATTGTTTCAGGATATTACAAAATTTTACACATCCATCACCCTGACATTGCTGGATAACATTGGATATCCCATTATTAAAAGAAATCAAAATATACAAGCCTCTTACCAAGTGTATCTTTGAGATTTTTCACCAGAGAGCCTTTCTTTAGACTGTTCTTGCGTTCGACGTAATTGGAAGGGACATAGCCCGTTCTGTTGGATGCATTTCGTACTCGCCACCACGTTTTTGAATCATCCAGGAGCCACAAGCGCTCATTTTTCCTAATGTCAAGTTCCTGGTCTTGCTGTGCTGTATAGTCCCACTTGGCAATAACAATCGCCTCCTCTGACATCTTTCATGGAGTCCCTCTGCAATAAAAATAAAAGAAGAATTTAGAATCCTCGTCTATCCCAAAACACAAAGTACAAATAAAGTGCGTACATGCCATAAAAACAGCAGATTGTCAGGAGTCAAGGTGAATAACTTTTTAATAGTCTAAAGGAGATCCTGGACTCCTGAAAACCCATGTAGATAGCCTGCTGCTCTTCTATGGACAGGCATCTCTAGACACTAAGCAGCAACCTCAGGAGAAACAGGACGGATCAAGAGCCCAGCTAGCCTTGAGGTAAAGCTGGTTTCTGAACGAACAGCTCTAAATGTGGGAGTCTCTCTCTCTCCCTCGCTCTCTCTCTCTCTCTCTCACACACACACACACACACACAAGGGCTACATTTACACACACCACACTAACAGCAGCCTTGGCCCTCAAACAGCTATTAAAGCCTCCCCTTTTCACCTCCCCATCTTAAACACAGTAAAGTATTCAGCAGATACATTGAAGGAGAAAAAAAGAGAGACATATTGCAAGAAAAGAAGAAAGTGAATAATTGTGTGTCAGAATAATAATGAATGAATTAAACAAATCCAAGTGAACTTACTGAGCAAACAACATAATAATCAGGCTGAAAAAAGATAATATCCCACAACATGGCTACAAGTAAAAGAAAGAAAACAAGAGACAAGGAAATACAGCTTTAAATACAGCATTAGTTCACCCAAAAATGAAAATCCTGTCATAATTTACTCACTCTCATGTCATTCCAACGACTTTTGTTTATCTTTGGAAAACAAATAAAGATATTTTTAATTAGCATTTTTGTCAATCCATAGAAGGTCTACATGATCCAACATATTCAAGCTTCAAAAAGCACATAAAAAGACATCATAAAAGTTATCCATGTGAATGAAGCTCAAACATGCATGCTTAATAATGCAATAGAAAAACCTCACTGGCTCTTGAGCATCAAGCATGCATATATAATGTAAGTGATTAACAAGTTTGAGAGTAAGTAAATGACAATTTTCCTTTTAGGGTCAATTATCCATTTAAAGCTGCAGTCCGTAAATTTTGCCTCTTTGTCGCCATCTCTGTTTGAAAACCGGGAATTGCAGTTACTTGCGGAATTATCTTCCTTGTGTGGGTTGTACTCTGGCACGGCTCCAGCGCGGATTAATCTAATGTTTTGAGGAGCATGTGTGGCAGTCAGTCACCGCACCGGTGTGAATCCTATACTTAGTAATCACAGATTCTAGCCTACATCTTGGAATATATGACCCAAATAAGAATTTTCACCGGATATTGTGATCTGAACATGTAATTAACAAGTCTGCCACATTTGTTCTGACCAACTGAGGAAAAAAGCATTACAATAAATCGTGCTACCAATAGTGATTTAATCTAATGATCGATTAGCTCATATCACATCAAACCGTGCAAATTATTATTATTGTTATACTTTATTCTCAGATTATTAAATGTTAACAACATCAGCATTGCGTGACTATGAGTATAGTATGTGTGTAGATTTCAAGGTCTGTACAGTCTAATCTCTAATTGTCATACCATTCGAATTTCATACCAAGAAATTCTTTTAACCCAAAAAGCAAACTATGCTCCCTTCGAACTGGTTGTCTTTAAAATACAAATCTTGTGTAATCCCAGGCTATCTGTAATCAGAAGCACATTTAAAACTGGAATATAATTTAATTTAATTCACATGTGTTTCATATAATCCTTTCTGGATTACAATCCGCCATCTAAATTATTTTTTGACATTTAATTATTGCAGCTGCTGTGAGAAAAGGCTAACGATCTGCCACCTGCAGGATCTTCACATGCGGGACAACTTCTTTATATTTACAGACGTGACGTAATGACGCAGCAGCATGCTCGAATTTCCCGCGAAAACCTACCCCTACTACTCAAATTAGAAAACATTATTATAAACTAACCGTTGTGAATCAGGCTAAAGTAAGGCGATAGTTTTGAATGCTGGCTGGTTATGTACCTGCTCAAATATTGATTTTGGATAATTTTTAACCAAAAAAAAGTTACAGACTGCAACTTTAAAGAAAAAAATCAATTATATCAAAATTATATTGGAATTTTTGTGGCCTAGTCTGTATTTGTGGCTGTTAGCCTTAAGGACTTAAAAAAGACGTATTACACAATAGATTTCATAAAGTGTTACATATCATAGTGTTACTTAAAAATCACTAAAAAGTTACTTAAATTTATCTTTGATGTAAGGATAAACTATTTTATGCTGTTAAAAATGTCTAATTAACACAAGAGCATAAAAAAAACACTTTTTCTGATCCTAGACTGATTCTTTGCAAAGAATGACAAAAAAAAAAGTAATTTGTATTTTTCTATACGATGCTGTATGCTAAAGCATTTCTCAAACATTCGTATTGTTAAATCACCAGAGACTGCATTTTATACCATATATTCACTTAGGCGTGCATTCATTGGATTCATGTTTCAGCTCAAAGTGTTTCTAACCATCGTTTGTTGAAGCTGCATGAATGGAAACACTGCATAATTACAGTTTCTATAGGATAATAAATGATGTTTTACAAAAAAAATAATGTTTTTCAACGATCAGAATGCTGTCTTGAATAAGCATGCACTTCTCTCTGATGATTATTAAGTAGCAAATCATGCTACAAGAAGCAAATAATGTTAAGTCATGGTCCATTACTTCACTAGAAGCCTATTTGCCCAAACTTCCTCTTTCAATGAAACACATAAACAAAAGACAGAAATCTGTGCTTGTTTAGCTACTTCATGTGGTCTTTAAAACAAGCGCTCATGAAACCTCCCTGTGTGTGAGAGTGTGAGTAAGAGTGTCAGTGAAAGTGAAAGAATGTGTCATTGGAATATGATGGTGCTGTGTGCTGTTTCCTGCTCCAGGGACACTCAGTATGTTGCCGTCCAATCACTCTGACAGCTGCCACACACAAACGAGTGCCAATCAGCAGGGGACAGCGAACACTTCATGATACTGTACACAAACACTGGCCACTTCATCGTTAAACAGCCCCCTGCACGCTTAATCAGTGACAGCAGGCTACATTATTCGTACTGCAAGCACAAACAGACGAAAAGCAAGTGTTTAAATGGTAGGCTGCCATCACAGGTCTTTTTAACTACTCTTAGATTCAGATACGAAATGACAGCTTAAAAAAAGCAGCAAGCTTCAGGTATGGCTATAAACTATGATGGCTATCATTCAAAACTGCTGCCAGATCTCCACGTTCCACTCTCTCTTGTCCCCAGTGGAGTAGGGAAACTTGTCAACTCACAGATAAAGCTGTCACATGTGTCAACACCGGCTGATACAATTACAGTGGCTGCCTGACGGCCAGCATTTTAAACAGCCAGGGATAAAATCTCCTCTTTAATAAACATGCAAGTCTCCTCCTAGGTCTTTCCATTCTCTGTGTGGTGTTGAAAGAGAAACACGCTGTGAGTGGAGAGAGCTCTGCTCTCTGACACTCACCTGTCAAACTAGAGTCAGTCATTAAAAAAAAAAACACTACTCCTAACACATGGGGTCTGGGTAAACATAGGAAATTTTGTGCTTTGCTTACAATGCAACATTATATCCCTGTTAGTGGTCGACCGATATATCGCTGTGATGAGTGGGGACGGGGCCGAGAGCCGTGGGAACAGAGCGAGGCCGGTGGAGTAATTGATAATGAGCGACACCTGCACCGCTCACCGGTCTCGAGTCCCACGGAGGAGCTCCGAAAGGATAAAAGGAGGAGTGACGACAGTGAAAGGGGAGAGGACCAGGCCTGGACTTTATTTTGTGTTTTGTGTGCGGCAGTCGTCCACGAGGGGCTGCTGCTTTACTTTCATTTTGTGTTTGTTTATTTGATTAAAATCTTAAATGTTCGCCGGTTCCCGCCTCCTTCTTCCCCACCTACGAACGTTGTTACATTGGTGCCGAAACCCGGGAGGAAGGAGGAACACGCTGTCAGAGAGCCCTCGCTGCTGAAGGGGATCGCGGTGCTGAGGAGATTGGGCAGCAGGAACAAGCGGAGAGACCGCCGGTGGCTGCCCGAGGCGGTGGTGCTGGAATTATGGAAGACGAGGTGGGACGGAGAGCTCGCTGCCACGCTCCTGGGTCGAGGAGGGGTGGCTGCCGTCCAAGAGGGAGCTGAGGATTCTGCCCCGTTCGCCAGGAGGCCAGAGCCTGCTGCCATCTGCCATGATTGGGGAGGAGCAGGGAACGGGGGACTCTCTGCCGGCTGCCCTCAATAGGAGGGGCCATCGCCGTCCGCCAGGAGGCGGAGGAGCGGTGGGACGTCCACCAACGATGTCCAGTACCATCGCATGGCACCGCGAGTGAGAGCCCCTCTGCCGGTTGAGGACCAAGCGGCAGTGTGTCCGGGAACCGGACCGATAATTTTTTATTTTTTTTCCCTCTCTCCCATCTCTCGTATCTTTCTCTCCTCATTCTTCCGTCTCCTTTTCTCTCGCCTCATCTGTCTATCCTTACCCCCAGGTAAAGTTAAGATTAAAATCTTAAATGTTCGGCCAAGGCCGATATATCGGCCGATACGTTTTTCTGTTTGCCCGATGTGTTCAAGACAGGACATTTATTTTGACGATGAATGAAATATATGATTCCCAATGCACACAAACTTCCCAGAATACTGAGTGCCCTGTTTGTTACAGTGTTTACTTATTTTTTAATTAGATTTTTATTAAATATTTATTTATTTGTGAAAAATGCTTTGTCTTCTAAAGTATAAGTATGTTTATTTTACACAATTATTTTTAATCCATTTTCAAATTATTTCAAATGTATTAAATATAAATTAAAATAAACAAAGTTATATCGGCTTTATATCGTCCTCCCTGCTTTCCAAGATATTGGCATTGGTTGTCAAAAAACCCATATCGGTCGACCACTAATCCCGGTTACTTAACCATGGTGCTAAGATCATACAGCCAGTTATGCAACATGATTATGGATCCCATAGTTAGAAATCGATCTCCATAACCACTAAATATAGCGCTAATGACTTACTAGGAAGGGCAGGGATAAGCACATGATTTCAAATGATATTACTACACAAGTACCATGACCATGACCATCAGTGAACACATGCTTCAGACACAGTGAATCATGACTGAAACTATTGAATAATCCCTGTCAATATTAGGAAATGCATTTGTGGGTAGATGTATGCATCATCTTTTCTTTAAGTACTTAAAGAAATAATACATTATTTTTTATAAAATCAATTAGAG